TTTGTTTCCTAATGTTAGGAAACAAAACTTCCAGAACACGGCCACACAGCCCGGAAGACCCACACCAGCCACCAATCTTTTATTTCATACTTTGTGATTATGTTAATTTCCATTTCAATTTTTCTAGGCATGACGGATGATGAGATTTTAAGAGCTGAAATGGTAGCTCAGCTCTGCATGAATGACAGAACTCATAGTTCTCTACTGGACCTTATATCCTTGTGGCATATGAAATTATTTGATATATGATTTCAGGCATTCTGCTTTCATTTGTTTTTCAAATAAAACTATTTTGAACTTGTGTTAGCTATATCAGGTTAATCCTTATTTGTGGCTAAGTTTTACATACAAAAATCACATTATTCTTGGAATAAACCTTAAACTTTTGTTTTATTACCAGGTTGGCAAAATACTATCAGCAAGACAAATCTTTCTAGCTTTGGTGTAGTGTTGGAAATCTGTCACACTTTATCTTCCCTTCTGTCACATTTTGTTTCTAAAGGAGGGACACGAGATTTAAAACTTATATATTTTGCTATTTAGACAAATTGCCTCTTCTTCACTGGGCCTTGCATTTTGAGTAGGGATAGAGGGGACCAAGGCAAATAAGCAATAACTATATTTTATGTTATTGGTTGTTTGAAACATATTTAAATCTGTTTAAAAGTTATGTAATGTATACAAAGAACCAGAAGGGTGCAGTATACCATTATTCTTCTAGTGATGTAAATGTCCGTATTTAAAGATGTAGTACAAATTTAATTCCTGTAATTCCCATAAAAGAGTGAAATGTAAAATTAAAATAGGATTCAAATCTTATGATCTAATAGAGACCTCTTGTGGTGAAATTCAGCATTTGCACAAGCTAATGGTGATAGCTTTTTCCCCTTAAACAGTTAAATACAATGTTTATAGGCAAATCTTTTTACAGAAAAAATTCTCATAATGATCGCTATTGTCTTAACCCAATGGTAACATTCCAGAAAATCCTAATCCTAAAAGTGGCATTATTCCTGGAAGTTTAAGTTTTGAATCAATGTTGTCTGCTGTGGCTGATTTTAAAGCCCCTGTATTTGAGCCAGGGGGTTCCATGCAGCAAGGAATGTACACACCTAAAGGTAGGATCAAATGTATCAATGTACATTTGCAACTTATTTCAGGCATTCTGCAAGCTCAGAAATACTTCTGTTTCATTTTTAACACTAGTTACATAGTTTTAATTATATGATATATAATTGAATGATAATGTGCTTTTCCTTTCCTAATCACTTGATTTAAACAAGTAAGTGATATGGTGACTTTTGACATGTAAAAAAACATTAATAGAATGGATAATATTGTTCCATTTTAATCTTAAGGAAGAAAGGTTGTGATAGTAGAGGTTATTTGTGAGAAAAGCCAAGTGCATTCTGTTACTGCTCTATCAATATAGATATAGATATAGATATATTTACACATAGACACACAAGTATATACACACACAGTAATACTATACACATATAAATACTGTTTTAAAATTAAATTATGAACTTGTACATATTATGAATAACAAAATTATGAAAATGAAGTCATAATTTAACATTAGATATTTCTGCCTCTTTCCAACAGCTGAGGTCTGGGATGAGGAATTTGACCCAGTCATGGTAATTCTCCGAACTGTTTATCGCAGAGATGTACAGTCTGCAATGGATAGATATACAGCATTGTAAGTGGAATATATTCTGAGTCATGAGAAAGAAAGATTGTTATAGAACAGAAATAGGAAGCTGTTGACCATTTGGAATCAGCAAGAATTATCTAGCTAGCCAGCTAGTTACCTATTTGGTGAATTAATTTAATTAATTTTTTAAAGTTTCTGTTTAGATGCCTTATAGAAAAATTGAAGGAGACAAGAAAACAAAACAAAAGCTGTAAATTATGGTGGATGGAAAGAGAGAGTCTTCTTTAATATTTACTTAGAACAAAAAAAAAGTTTCTTTAATATAGGCTTGCCAATTAAAATTGGCCATCTTCAGCTAATGTATGAATGTTTAGTTTATGTATTAACACTGGGTCATTAGCGGCAGTATCCTGTTTATTCAGGAAAAGTATTCTTTTTTGGAAAGGGGATTGGTACATTTAAAATAATAAATTGTCTAAGGCGTGGGGCAGCTAATTTATCACCATTGCAAGTCTAAGGAGAAGACTTGCCAAATTATCCCTTCTTGTGTTTATGAAACATAGATAATTATACACTTTGCATCAGAAAGAGTAACAATAATTATGATACCCTATATTGGGGTTTTCTGTTAGTGCCAAATTTGGATGAACAAACTGGGAAGAGCTGCAGTCTGCTTTTTAATATAGTGGGATCTTTCTTGTGTTCAAACCAAGAACTAGAGCAATAATCTGTGAATATATGCAGGATTCAGTATTGCATATTGACTCAATTGTCCTGGGACATAGTCAAGAGAAAATCCATTGGTGTGGATAAGCTCTAAAAGCTAATCAATATTTATATACTGTTTCAATTTAGCCAGGGAAAAACTGCTTTATTTACAGATTATGTCACATTACCCCTTATTAGGGTGGTACAGAACAGTTAAATGTACACTTTTTGCTTTTTACTGGTAAAAATTTTATGAAATATACTGTATGGTTCCGAGCCAGAGTTGATGTCTGTTTTTACTGCTTTGGTTTCTTAAAATGACATGTCAAAATGATGTATCACCTGCCATCTTTCACAAATATATAACCTTTTCATTTTTTAGTGAATTGAATAATGTGTTTCTTCAGGCCAAGTAAAATCAGATTGGAAGTCAACCTTTTGGGTTTCTTCTCTCCTCAGTTTTCCATTCCTTTTTCTCCTCTAACTCTTGCACCCCTAATAAAGATACTAATAACTTTAAAAGTTGTTCAAATTCAAATGTATATTATTCCTCATTCTTACAAGTAGATCATTCAGTGTAGAATTTCTTCTTTTACAGTTTAAAACAGAGTGGAAAAGTCCATGGAAATCCTTGGCCTCCCTATAAGAAACGAACACATTTGCACCCAAGTTATAAAGGACTCATGAAACTCTTGCATTGCAAAACTTTACACATTGTACTGTTCACTCTACTCTATAAGGTACTATTGGAAAGTCTGGGATCAAGAATTTGAAACTAAAAATTACTTTCAAATTATTTAAGTTTTGTGTGAAAAGTATTGTTTTCATTACCTCTTTTTATTAAGTTACATTTTTTCCTCTTTTCAATTGTGTTTCCAAAGGAGAAACTGAACACAAATACATATATTTAAGTTTACTAGTGTATATGTACTTTTTCAGTTAGCTCTTTTTTTAAAAAAAAAAAAGTATACATATTCTTACAATACAAGATTTTTCTTTTGTGGCTGAGGTTTCATGTAAGTGCCAACATTATTCATACATTCAGTTATTGAATTCTGAATGGGAAGTTTTTTTTTCCCCCTGAAGTCTAAATTGGAAAAGTTTAGTGAGTGAAAAAACAATGTATTTCTTTATTTTGTTTTAGATATTAATGGACCATCAAAATTTGTCAGAACATGTCCTTTGCATGGTTTTATATTTGATTGAATTGGGACTAGAGAATTCTTCTGAGCAGGAATCTGATGAAGAAGTAAGTGCTAATTAAAGCATTCTTAGATGGAAAGCAAATGGGTCTTACACTGAAATGATGCAGAGTGTGATGCTTTTGTTCAGGCTTCCAGTCGCTCCATTCCATTTTTCTCCACTTTTCTTTCTTCCCCTCTTCATCTTACATTCTGCCATATTCCCTGCCCACTGAGTGTGTGTTTCTGTAGGTGCTTTCTTTGTCCATTTTTGGGTTTTCTCCTGTGCCTAGAATGAAGACCCAGTTTCAGTTGCATGAAATTTAAGTTCTCCATTGAGAAATTAAACCTTCAATTGTGAGGGTATGTTAAAAATAATTTTTAATGTGAACATGAAAGTATCCTACTCACCCATGGGAAATTTTACATTATTCCTTTACTCATTCATACACACATTCTCCTGTTCCCACCATTCTGTTCTGTTTTCTTTTGCCACATTTGTTGATTTATCCCCATTCAAATCAACCTATATTCGCGTTACTGAATTAATATGGGAGAGTTTTTAATCACTCCAACAAAATTGTTGTGCTATTTGCAAAAATTGGGGTTATTCCTCATCTGCTAATATCCTTTTTATGGGTATGGGCGGTGTGATTTTAGTTCTATTTCTGCAACACGGGAAAACTCAAATATGTACTAGTCTATGCCCTTGTGATGCATTTTACTTTTAGACATTTATATGTTTCTCTCATTGAATAAAGATCAATGGATTTAAAGGTTGAAGGTAAGCTCATAAGAGAGGTAATATAGCATGTCAGCTAAAAATGAGCATTTTTGCCAAGCCAGTCTTGTGCAAGTTATTTCTCAGTTTCCACTTACGAGACATAGTACAGTGGTACCTCGGGATACGAACGCCTCTACTAACGAACTTTTTGGGTTACAACCAGCT